CTCGAGCTTAAGATACATATCAGTTCGGTCAGGACTCGGATGCAAAGGAGGACTCGATCTACAACGCTGTAGAGCACACTCGCGGCATGGCACATCGCAATTCAGCACGGCGCAGCACAGCACAGCCCTTGGCACGGTACATCAAGATCGATACACTCAGCATTGCAACGTGGCACTGTCCTTGCCACGTTCCGTGGCGCGTTCCTTTGGCGAATCCCCTTGGCACGTCGCGCGGCGCGTCCCTTGGCACGTCCCGTGGCACGGCCATTGGCACGTTCCGTAGCGAGTCCCCTTGGCACGTCCCGCGGTGCGTCCCCATGGCACGTCCCCTGGCACGTCGCCTGGCGCGTCCCTTGGGACGTTCCGCGGCGCGTCCCCCTGGTATGTCATCCTGTCAACGAGCTCTGGGGCAGCTACTCTGTGCTCAGGCAGCTCGAGCTTAAGATACATATCAGTTCGGTCAGGACTCGGATGCAAAGGAGGACTGTATCCACAACGCTGTAGAGCACACTCGCGGCATGGCACATCGCAATTCAGCACGACACAGCACGGCACAGCCCTTGCCACGGTACATCAGGATCGATGCATTCAGCATTGGATTTGCCCATCGCCCAATCAGGTGTCTTTGAACATGTTGACATGCCTTACATTTCTATGTCATTGTCCGGGTTCGCGGGTCGATCATGTTTTGAGGATGTCTCAGGCGAAACGCTTGTTTTCGAAATCCCGATTGATAATTTTCAGGGTGCGAGCTTTTTTTCCATGGAAAGGGCATATGCCCAGGGTTCTTCTTTAGATGGTTCCCGTCCGGCCTCGACTTGCGCAGGGCCGGCGAGTTTCATTTGCGATGAATAACGAAGTCGCGTAGGGCCAGCGAATTAAAAAGTTGAGGATGTCTTGAGCGAAACGCTGGTATTTGAAATTCCAATCAATAAAACACATGGTAAAGTACACATTTCCCGGGAAAGTTCTTGGAAAGGGCATAGGCGCAGGGTTGTCTTTTAGCCGGTTTCCCCTTGGCCTCGACTTTCGTACGGCCGGCGAATCTAATTTTGCGATCAATAACCAGGTCGCGTAGGGCTGGTGTATTCAAAAGTTGAGGATGTCCCGAGCGAAACGCTGGTATTTGAAATTCCGATAGATCAAACACACGGTGAAATATACATTTTCGTTTGTTGCGGATGTCTCGAGCGAAGTGTTTGTTCTTCAGAATTTGTTGAGGAGGTCTTGAGCGAAACGTTTGTTTTGTGTCACCACTGGATCGTTCCTCTCCTGGCCCAGAATTCACAGTGAAGTGCTTATTTTCACGTGCCCGGGTCTGGAGGATGTCTCGAGCGAGTTGCTTGGTTTCACGCGTCCAGGTTACCCAGGCAGATGTCTAGCATGAGGATTTGAGGATGTGTCGAGCGAGACGCTTGTTTTCACGCATCCAGGTCACCCAGGTAGATGGCTAGCATGACGAATTGTTGAGAATGTCTCGAGCGAGACGCTTGTTTTCACGTGTCCAGGTCGCCCAGGCAGATGTCCAGCATAAGGATTTCTTGAGGATGTTTCGAGAGAGACGCTTGTTTTCACTTGTCCAGGTTGCCCAGGCGGATGTCTAGCATGAGGACGTGTTGAGAACGTCTCGAGTGAGACGCTTGTTTTCACGTGCCCAGGTCGCCCAGGAGGATGACTAACATGAAGATGTGTTGAGGATGCCTCGAGCGAGACGCTTACTTTCACGTGTCCAGGTCGCCCAGGCGGATGTCTAGCATGAGGATGTGTTGAGCGAGACGCTTGGTTTCACGCGTCCAGGTCGCCCAGGCGAATGTCTAACATGAGGATAGGGCGGGACGTCTCGAGCGAGACGCTTGTTTTCACGTGTGCAGGTCGCCCAGGCGGATGTCTAGCATGAATCTGGTTTCAGGATGTCTCGAGCGAGACGCTTGGTTTCACGTGCCCAGGTCGCCCAGGCGGATGTCTAACATGAAGAGATGTTGAGGATGTCTGGAGCGAGACGCTTGGTTTCACGTGCCCAGGTCGCCCAGGCGGATGTCTAGCATGAGGACGTGTTGGGGATGTGTTGAGCGAAGCACTTGTTTTCACGCGTCCAGGTCGCCCAGGTGGATGTCTAACATGAGGATTTGAGCGGGACGTCTCGAGCGAGACGCTTGTTTTCACGTGTCCAGGTCGCCCAGGCAGATGTCTAGCATGAGGACGTGTTCAGAACTTCTCGAGCGGGACGCTTTGTTTTCATGTGCCCAGGTCGCCCATGCGGATGTCTAGCATGAGGATGTGCTGTGGCTGTCCCGAGCGAGACGCTTTTTTTCACGTGTCCTCGTCGCCCGGGCGGATGTCTGACATGAGGATGTGCTGAGGCTGTGTTGAGCGAAACGCTTGTCGCAGTAGAATGCGTCGCAGTCCAACCCCGCCCGTCCGTGGGGCGTCCCCTGGTGCGCTGGCGCGTCCCCTGGCGCGTCCCTTGCAACGTTCTGGCGTGACTTGCCCTGGCACGTTCCCGAGCACGCCACTCGGCGTGGCACGTTCCCTGGCTCGTCCTCTGTCGCGTTTCCTGGCTCGTCCCCAGGCGTTTCCCCTGCCCGTTTCGTGGCGCGCCCCTTGCAACGTCCCTTGGCATGAGGTCCCTTTGGCCGCCTCATGGCACGCGCCTTGGCACGTCCCGTGGCAGGTCCCTGACACGTCCAGGGCACGTCCCCTGATGCGTTCCCTGACACGGCCCCTGGCGCATCCCCTATTGCGCCCCTGGCACATCCTGTGGCCCGTCCGTGAGCCTGTGCTCCGTGTCGTGTAGTTCTTTCTCGGAGCGGAGTCGGATTTTGAGGTCGAGTTGATTGAACGTCCCGCACGTTTCCACTTCAACTAGCTCTGGGGCAGCTACGGTGTGCTCAGGCAGCTCGAGCTTGATATTCAGATCAGTTCGGTAAGGACTCGGATGCAAAGGAGGACTCGATCCACAACGCTATAGAGCACAATCGCGGCATGGCACATCGCAAGTCAGCACGACACAGCACGGCACAGCCCTTGCCACGGTACATCAAGATCGATACACTCAGCATTGCAATTGACCGCCGCCCAGTCAGGTGTCTTGAAAACGTTGCAATGCCTCACATTTCGATATTCCTTGTCGGGTTCGTGAATAGATCATAGTAGGTTGTTGAGGCTGTTTCAAAGACACCGCTTGTCCCGCAGAGTTCGCCGAGGATGTCTTGAGCGACACAATTGTTTTGTGTCATAGAGTGTTCCTCCCCTGGGGATCATAATCCAGAGGATGTCTCAGGTGAACTGATTGTTTTCACGTGCCAGGTCCTGAGGATGTCTCGAACGAGACGCTTGGTTTCACGCGTCCAGGTTACCGAGGCAGATGTCTAGCATGAGGATGTGTTGCGGATGTCTCGAGCGAGACGCGTGTTTTCACGTGACCAGGTTGCTTAGGCAGATGTCTAGCATGAGGATGCGTTGAGAACGTCTCGAGCGAAACGCTTGTTTTCAAGTGTCCAGGTTGCCCAGGCGGATGTCTAACATGAGGATTTGGGCAGGATGTCCCGAGCGAGACGCTTACTTTCACGTGTCCAGGTCGCCCAGGCGGATATCTAGCATGAGAAGGTGTCGAAAGCATCTCGAGCGGAACGCTTGTTTTCACGTGCCCAGGTCGCCCAGGCGGATGTCTAACATGAAGAGGTGTTGAGGATGTCTGGAGCGAGACGCTTGTTTTCACGCGTCCAGGTCGCCCAGGGCGGATGTCTAGCATGAGGATGTGTTGGGGATGTGTTGAGCGAAACGCTTGTTTTCATGTGCCCAGGTCGCCCAGGCGAATGTCTAACATGAGGATTGAGCGAGACGTCTCGAGCGAGACGCTTGTTTTCACGCGTCCAGGTTGCCCAGGCAGATGTCTAGCATGAGGACGTGTTCAGAACGTCTCGAGCGAGACGCTTGTTTTCACGTGTCCAGGCCGCCCAGGCGGATGTCTAACATGAGTTGTTGTGGGGGATGTCTCGAGCGAGACGCTAGGTTTCACTTGTGCAGGTCGCCCATGCGGATGTCTAGCATGAGTATATGTTGAGGAGGTCTCGAGCGAGACGCATGTTTTCACGTGCCCAGGTCGCCCATGCGGATGTCTAGCATGAGGATTTGTTGAGGATGTCTCGAGCGAAACGCTTGTAGCAGTAGAGTGCATGACAATCCAACCCCTCCCGTTCGTGGGGCGTCCCCTGGCGCGCTGCTGCGTCTCTTGCGACGTTCTGATGTGACGTGCCCTGGCACGTCACCTAGCATGCCACTCGGCGTGGCACGTTCCTTGGCTCGTCATCTGTCGCGTTTCCTGGCTCGTCCCCAGGCGTTTCCCCTGCCCGTTCAGTGGTGCGCCCCTTGCAACGTCCCTTGGCATGAGGTCCCTTGGCCGCCTCATGGCACGCGCCTTGGCACGTCCCGTGGCAGGTCTCTGACACGTCCAGGGCACGTCCCCTGATACGTCCCCTGACACGGCCCCTGGCGCATCCCCTATTGCGCCCCTGGCACATCCTGTGGCCCGTCCGTGAGCCTGTGCCCCGTGTCGTGTAGTTCTTTCTCGGAGCGGAGTCGGATTTTGAGGTCGAGTTGATTGAACGTCCCGCACGTTTCCACTTTAACTAGCTCTGGGGCAGCTACGGTGTGCTCAGGCAGCTGGAGCTTAAGATTCAGATCAGTTCGGTCAGGACTCGGATGCAAAGGAGGACTCGAACCACACCGCTATAGAGCACAATCGCGGCATGGCACATCACAGTTCAGCACGGCGCAGCACAGCACAGCCCTTGGCACGGTACATCAAGATCGATACACTCGGCATTTCAATTGCCCGTCGCCTAATCAGGTGTTTTGAAAACGTTGCCATGCTTCACATTTATGTATTCCTTTCCGGGCCCGCGGGTCGATCATGTTCTCAAATGGTTGTGATGTCCATTGCGATTGGCCAACGCCCGGAACAGAACAGATCGATTCGATTACCGCCGCCTCCGCCGCAGGTGTTGGTTGCAGGAGCCGGCTTCATCGGCGTGGAGTGGGTTACAGAGCTGGAGTATTTCTTCCCGAAG